TTATTTTCTTTTTTTTCTTTGATATATATATATATATATATATATATATATATATATATATATATATTTTGTATGCGCTTCACTGATGCTACGTTAAAAGTTGAAGACTTTACAAAGCTGATAAATTTCTTACCCTCTCTATATTTTGGATGGCAGAGACTGGTTGAACCCTGAACTCTTCAAATAAACCGGTCTGTCTGGTTAGCAATCTTGCCACCAATACTGCAAGTGGTTGGCGTTCTACTCAGTTGTTCATGTTGGATTTTAGACGATGAGGCTCGACTAATCAGAGAATTACGTACGACTTTTGTCTTGTGAGGAAATGTTTTCAATGATAAATCAACTTTTCAGTTATCTCCAGTTGAACTTGGTTGTGTAAACTGCAAGTGATTCATCAAGGTATTGGGTGCCAAGTTTAGAGTTGGGTTCATCTGTTCATCTGTTTTTGTTTTTTTTGGTTACGCTCAGGGACAAGGAAGTTCTCATATCAGATCAACTTGGTTTTTTGATACCCTGCAGCTTATGATAGGCAAAACTAAAGAGAAGTAACCTTATAATTGTTGTCTTATGAATCAGCGTCTACGAGTAAAGATTTTGCAATTCCATGTTGTTTTTACACACTCAAGAACATGCAAGAGATGTCCGATTGGATCTATTTGATCCAGTTTCAAAATCCGGCATACAAAGCGGGTTTTGGAGATTTCTGGATGTTAAAAAAAAAAAAAAAAAAGCTTATATAAAAGTACCGAGAGTGGTACTACTGATCCAAATTTTTACATGAACCGCATTTGCAAGAATATCCTCGGATCCTCCATGCAGGAATTGATATGTATGAGCTCGTGAGATATCCATCATTATGAAGATCAACTTCGCGCCAACACATGAAATAGAGAGAGAGAGGAGAATTCTCGGAAAATTCAGCAGACCTGCAGAAATTTATGCAATATGTTAGCATTCAGATGAAAATTTTAGGACCATCACTTAGACAGCAATTTTCCTGCAAACAAAACCAAAGAACAAAACGGATCAGGGATTTAATCAGTTAAACTAGTGGGATTTGAACCAAAAATATTGATTTTCATATACTAGATATAGTACTAATTGATAAGACATACAGTTCATATATATACACGCACTAATAAATATGTAATTTATGTGTTATCAGCAGAATATGGTCATCACCAATGAGTACTTCTCCAAGGTTTTTGCTCTGAAATACAATTTGGCTTTGAAAGATATAAATTGATGTCTGATTTTTATGTTATAAATGAAAGCCCCAAAGGAAAAGTCGGTCAGAACATCAGGAATTTTATAACATGAAGTTTGAATTTGAATTGAAAAGACAGACAGAAAGAAGAAAAGCCTTTACTTGGTTTCAGATATTACAGAAAAGTGCCAAATTTGCTCCTTTGCCCTTCTCTGCTTTCTTTAATCTTTACAAACAGGTTGTTGAAGTTTGTCCATCCGGTAGTAGTAGTAATACTGAACAACAGGTAATAAGAATATAATTATGCACTAAAATCAGTATAAAATACATAGGCCTCGTTCATTTCACCGATTCAAGTTTTTAGTTTTAAGTTTTTACAGTAAAAAGCTCTCAGAAAATGCCACATCTAACTTTTTCTGTTACAGTGAAAAGCTCTAAAAAAATATCACATCTCAACTCGAATTAAAAATTTGAATCCGTGAAGTGAACGAGGCCATAATGTTCTATGTTAGATAGTAGACAAGCAAGAAGAAAAGAATAATTATTACATTAAGAGCTGATTATAGGAGTAGTTATTTATTAATTCTTTAGAGAATCTGGATGTCTGGAACATGCTGAATTTGGATCCACGCCTTTCCTGACGGTTCTCGACAATGCTCATCTAACTCCGGACAATCTTCTATGATCAAATGCTTCAATGGTGTTGTCCGGAGGAAGTCGGGTAACGCCTTTAGAGGATAACAGCCTTGAAGCTTGAGGTATTCAAGCCGTGGCATTATTCTGACAGGACTATCCACACTCCACCTTAGTATTCCCGCCCATTCGAAACACCACGGCAAATTAAACAAAATTCGTTTAAGCTTGGGGAAAAGATTCACCATTGTTGCACCATCATCATCATCCCGACCAGTAGTACCGCTTATTCTTGTAGTAATCATGTTGCTTTTAATTTCTACTTTGAAAAATTCAGGTCCAACCTTATCTATACCTCGTAAAACATATAATTCTAGTGTTTCAAGTGGTTGGAGTTTCCTCAAAGCATGAAGAATCTTAGGGCTTTGGCAGAATTGCAAGCGCAAGCTTCTCAAATTGGTTAGTGTGATCAGCCAGCTAGGACCGCCGTGGCCCATGTAACACTGGACATGTAAATTTCTCGAATTCGGGTGTGGTTGTAAGGGTTCAAGTATATACCAGAGACCTTGTATATATATATATATATCATACTTTACTATTTTATATTTAATTGATTATATATACGCATGTATAATGACCTAGAATAGTTTTATAGTTGACCTATAGAGTAGTAGAGGTCTAGAAATGTTAAGTATGAACATAGGATGATGATCAAAAGTTAGGGTTGAACATAGGATGATGATCAAAAGTTAGGGTCGTCACACTCTTTGAGCGCATTTAGAACTCATTTCAAAATGAGTTTGTTTTTTGTATAAAAATGAAAATGAAAACGTTTTCAATCTCAAATAGAAATCATTTTTAAAAATGTGTTTGGTAGTTTTATCAAGAGATTGTTTTCAATGTAAAAAAACTCATGAACATCTCTCTTTCTCTCTCTTTGCTTGAGAAAGGAGAAAACGAAAACGAAAAATGAAAAATGACTAAAAGTCGTTTTTCATTTCTCTCTCATTTTACACTAAACTAAAAAATCATTTTCATTTTCACTTTTTGTGTTTATTGCGCCAAACGCCATTTTAGAAACACTTTCATTTTTTTCTTAAAAAACGTGAAAATAAAAGCGGAATGAAATCCAAACAGAGCCTTTATATACCCATCAAAATTATACTCGAAATCCTGGAAAAGTGATCGCATTAATGCCACGTTGTTAAAACACATCTGCCCTTCCGCTTCCGCATCATGACTCTTCAAACCAAGATACCCCTGCGCCATCCACTGTTTGATGAGATCGTTTACGTCGATTACACAATCTTTGGGAAGGATGTTGCAATATGAAAAACAACACTTTTCAATTGGAGCCATGTTGTAGAAATTGTAAGTGCATAATATATGTTCAAATATAAAATTATTGTTGACTCACCTTCTAATAGTGTGAGTTTTTAAGATGGCTTAGTAAGCTAACATGGTATCAGAGAGAGAGATCTTGAGTTCAAACCCCATAAATGTACTCTTTATTCCTATTTAAATTGTTATCACTTATTGGGTATTTAATATAAAGGAGAAGGAGAGAAATAAAATATTTAGTAGGATGTTTAGTAAATTATAACATATTTTTTTAAAAAATAATACTAAATTTTAGCATAATTTGACAACTTAAGTTTTAAACATTACTAAAATACCTTAAAAATTCCTTTACCAAACACAAAAAAAAACCCAATAAAAGGACATTGCTATTTTTTTATTTTCTATTTTTGACAAACCATACCATTCATGTTTTGTCCTTGCAAGCATATCTTGATTTGATTCTTGCTTTTCCATTTAATTGGAACTGCTTCAAGCATTCAATCATTAAAATCTATTTTGTTTCATGCGTTCAAACTCACAGTTTTGATTTGCTACATCATTTTCTTCTTATAAGAAATTATATTTCAAAAGCCCAAACAAAAAATCACTGGTTTGAATGGGGTGAATGAGGCAAATAGCATAAATGTAGAAAGTATTAAATTTATAGCAGAAGTTTAAGAGATTCAAAATTAATAACATATTTTACATCAATAAAATCAAAAATCTCTAAAATAACCACGCACACCCTCTCTCTCTCCTCTCTCCTCTCTTCTCTCTCCTCACCGTGAACTTGCTCACCATCAAACCCAGAGACATAGCCTGCAAACAACGTCGTTAATGGCCTCTCCATCTGTCACGCCCCCCTAAACAAGGTCAGGTGACATGGAGCTCGATTCGGGGTTAAACGCACGATAATAAATGAAATCCCCAACGAGCCCCACACTAGATTAAAATATAAATTTCTAAGTCTTGAGCCTCTGACAACACACAGGGCTCCACTCACAGGACATACAATATTGTACATACATGAACATGTAAATATCATTACAGACATCAACTACAGTCTAGAAATCCAAATATAAGAGTTTACAGATGTTGCACTTCCTTACATTTATCCAAGAGGATGAACATAATCCTCACTTGATTGATCAGTAACAATAATCCAGCTACTCCGCACCCCTCCTAGAGTCTCCTGGGAGGGGTTTAATATTTATAAAATAATAAAACGTGAACGAAAGGCCCAGTAGGATATAATTTGAAATAACTTTGTAAATAAATGAATAAATAAATAAGCGGGTGAATAAATAAATGAATAAGTAGATAAATAAGACATTTAGTTTCAACACAACAGCCGAAACCTCACATCCTTTTTCTCAAAGGAAATACATCTGAAAATCACCATATTACAGGCATCAGCAAGTAATTTATGCTATGATAAATTACTTACACAACCACGTGCACAAGCCATATCACCTCCGGGCCAGGTTTCGGGTTTTGCCCCCAAGGATGCACTCTCCACATCCTATGTTAGCCATAAGCTGGTTTACCGATTCACAAGATCTCTTATCTTAAGAAATCATTCATTAAATTTTCTGAAATCGTTTATTATAACACCATGAACTACACAAGCCATAGGTCCCATGAAACTACGTCAAGCCATGGTCCCATGAACTGTAACAAGCCATGGATACCATGAACTACATCAAGCCATGGGTTTTAAATGCTTTTCTTTCGCAAACAAGCCATTTTCTTTAAAACATTTGCAAGGCCAAAACTTTTTTGAAAATCAGGCTCACAAAGAAAAAAGGGAAGAAATCCTACCTGTCAATATCAAACCTATGACTAGCGTGGCTCTATTCCAGGTTTTGCTTTCATGAAGCCTTTCAATCCGAGCTCTCAGCTAGCAATCATACAAAACAACACTTTAGGATCAAACTCTCATTCCTAAAGTAGCTCAAACACAATTATGCCATTTGATTTCCTATTTGTGTGCCCTAATCCAATTTCATGTTTCAAATCATCATTCCAAGTGTTTTCAATCTCAAAACAAGGATTAAAGATGCTAATGCATTTACTTTAGATCCCCAAATGAAGCTAATTTGGGTTCTCCTAAAAAACAGAGGTCAAAACAGCATTTTCAGGCAAAACAGGGTCGAACCCCATGTACACTGGTCGACCGGTGACAGAGCAGTGCAACACCACCGGTCGACCGATGGTGTGCAATCCGGTTGACCGGTGAGGCTAATGCAATCCGGTCGACGGCACAGGTCGACCGGTGGAGGACATCAGTGCGAGAGAGGCTCACAAAATCAGTCTGAAAACTTACAAATCCAGTCCCAAATTGAGATATGTCATGGGATAACCACTAGATCCGGGTTCTAAGTACTAAATCAAGTCCAAAGAACCTAAGATCTCCAATTTCTACCATGGTTTTACTCAAAATCCATCAAAATCAGTTTTGAACCAAAATAGGTTTTCAAATCTTAATAAATTCAAGATTCAAGAGAGGGTTTTTTAGAAATCTTACCTCAAATCCTTCTCTTGATGTTGAAAACTTCTTTAAATCCTTCTTTGGTTCAAGATCCTGTCATTTTGGGACAAAAAGGGGAGAGAGAGAGAGAAGAAACGAGAGTGAGGAGAGAGAGGGAGCGTGCACGGGAAGGAAAGGAAAGGAAGAAAGAGAAAAGGGAAAAAGAAAAGAAAAGGAAAAAGAAAAAAAAAGGCATGTGTACAATATTTTAAAATGACAGTCTAGAAATGCGCTCATACACACTTCTGGGTAAAAATGTAAATACTGAGAATATTTAAATACCTTAGAATTATTTAAATGCACACATGTCAGAAACACTTATTAATTAATAATCAAGTAATTAATGTAGATTAGGCACACTAATCAATCTCAATTTCCTTAATTAATATAGTTTAATTCCTCGGGGTGTTACACCATTACCATTAAGCATCTCCATGCCTCTCTCTCCCCCCAAACTCTCTCTTTCTAACTTCTCTATCTGCCTCCAATTGTGTCAATTCTATTCCTCCACTTGAGGCCAAAGTCGTGAAACCAATGACGGTGGAATCAAAGCTCGCAACAGTAAAATCGAAGCTCACGATGTGTAGATTTCGAAGGCGGATTAGACTAACCAAGAAGGTTTTGAAATGAGTATTTTCAATTCAATTCTAAATTGTATTTGTTTTAAATATTGAAGTAATTACGGCCTCATTCCTTTCACTGATTCGAGTTTTCAATTTCAGTTTTACTATAGTTAAAAGCTCTCACAAAAAGTCACATCTAACATTTTTGCTACAGTTAAAAGCTCTCATATAAAATCGCATCTCAGCTCGAATTGAAAATTCGAATCAGCGAACTGACGAGGCCTACATGTCTTTTGGAAATGGGTGGGTGGCAAACCTTGTATGGGTCAACAACCGCGCTCATGATCCCTCTCTCTTCTTTTAAATTACTTTCCAACTAACAAATGCATATCGTAAATAAAATCTCTGCTGGAGGAAAAAGTGTCTTTCATTGAAGTTTTAGATTCACACAATCGGGTCAAAAGTTCTCATAGTATGATATAAAAGTTCTCATACTTTACTATGTTATATTTAATTGATTATAAATACGCATGTATAATGATCTAGAATAGTTTTATAGTTGATTTTTGATTTGTTTTGTGAGGTCGTAAATTTAAAATACAAGCATGCTTAAAAGTCAAATTTAAAGTGTAATTACGAGTATAAAGAACCTTAGGTCGTGGGAAAACTTAGCTGGCTTGGCCCTACATACTTACACATACAAATATTCTATGTATATGCACATATCAGGAAAATGATTCTCTCCAAGGAACCATATTACATATACACATATAACATAAAATACATAAATGAATGTAGTCCTGATTAATTTGATAATATAATTGGGCTGACTCTCTTGAAGTCTATCTCTATTTGTTTACCTTAAAGAAAAAGAATTATTATAACACTGTTAGCCTTTGAACGATCAGCATTCTATCTTTTTGGGTTTGAATATTTTTTTTTATAGTAAATTACACTCTAACTTTTCTGGGTTGTTTTCTTCTGACGGTAATATCGATTATGAATTTTTAAATTTTAAGAAAACTAATTACCACTTTATCGCATAATAGTTAAACTTTTATAA